TGCTTTTGAAATATGCTGCTAAGATAGAACACTCTCTTTAACATATCCTCCATAGAACGCGATTTTCGAATATGTGGTTGCATGGCAGGCTTCAGTCTTTGCGAATGCTGGTTATAATACATGTTGCATTTGGTCTAGGTCCTTGTTGTATCTCGGATATTGGAAACTGGGCCCGACACGTATAATCAAGTAATGCTGCCATATCAAAACACGACGGACGATGAGAGGAACTGGTAGAAGGAATATTAGCCACATATCTCCGACATAAGAGGCTATTCGAAACTCGCTCCGTGCGTTCTACTGCGCTCCACTGATATGTGTCACAGCTCCGGCCGTCTGCGGCGATTGCTTGTCACCGGCGGCTCGAGAGATGGCTAAGTTCATGACCTATAACTGACGTTCGAAGATAGCTCGTCAAGCAAAAACATCCTCAGATTGCTTGGGGGTGCCAAAACATGCGGAAGCAACAGCGAGACACAGATGAGCACAGACAGCACTCCGCGACCAAGCGGCCGACGTTACAGACGTGGCCAATTTAGTGCCAATAACATCCGTGCAGTATAAGCCGGGTCATCCCAGAGCAGATAAAAAAAGTTGGCTGGAAGAGCTGCATGTTGCGAGCTCCGGAAATAGCAAGGACGAGAAGAGCCCGAGATACAAATCACAGCTGACTGGCGATGCTGACGCTCGATCATCGTTGCGACTCGGACCGGAAGCCGGTTTGCAGGCGGCGGAGCTATGTCAACAGCGCCGCGGCGCTTTTTGCTTAGCCGCGCCGGGCTTAGCGCCAGATCCGCGACAGGGGGCTGTCGGTTCCGACCGCTTCCGGTCGTTACCACGCGGCTCGATCGATGCGGTGCGATGTTGAGGTGACGGTTGCCGACGGTCGGTCGGGGCAACAGCCGCGCCGTCCGGCGAGCAGACACGGCGGCGTCGCTGGGACTGATCTCACCGACACGATGGCGACGCAGACACGGCGACGGCGCTGGGACTGATCCCGCCGACAGGAAGGCGACGCAGGCACGGCGACGTCGCTGGGACTAGTCCCGCCGACAGGATGGCGACGCAGGCACGGCGACGTCGTTGGGGCTGATCCCGTCGACAGGGTGGCGACGCCGGTCGGCGTGCCTGCGGCCCTCGGGCAGGAAACGGCGCCCTGACCGGGAACGTTGTGAGTCACGGGCCGAGAATTCGCCCAGGGATGCGCGAACAGAGGGCTGACGCCGGCCCATTCACCGATTAGAAATGCATGCGGTGCACGTGGTCCGAAACGGACGCTGAGTCAGATGTCTAGCAGGAGTGCGCGTGCACCGAGAACAGCCCGCAGATGTGACGATCAGTAGCCGGTGGATGATGTTGCCATCGCGCCTTCGTCACTCCATTTCCGCAGCAAGCGCCATACAAAGCCAACACCATGTGGACGCAAAAGTTGGGACCGTCTGGCATCGGGACGGTCCCGTCCGGCCGCTGTTCGAGACGACCGGGCCGCCCAGTGCACCGAGACCCTCGTCCCTTGGGGCGGCCGGCCGGCTCTGCCCGGGTCTTGTTCGACAACTCGTCCGTCTTCCGCGAACGTTAGCGGCACCACCTGGCCCCAGACGACTATCCGATCGAACCGTGTTCTGGTGCGGCGCCGCGCCTCCGCCGCAGGCGCGACCGACATGGCCGGCGGCGGGGAGCGGCGCCGCTCGGCGATCCGGTGAGAGCCGGGCGCGCGAGCTGGACCTGCTGCCAGCCGCCGCTTGATTCTGCGTCATCGATGACGATCGACTTCCGCGGCCAGCAAACATCAGGACTCACGCAACATGCCACGCTTTCGTGTTCTCTGTTTCGCTGCTGACCAATTGTCACACCTCTTCTCCCCCGCCGTCGGGATGACTCGAGGTGACGGGGGCGAGGTGTTGCCCCGAAATGGGAGATCCCAAGTCCATTCTGAAGTCGATTCGCTCCAGACATTACCGCAGGATTGGCGTCAAACTTTAACGAAATTTCTCCCATGTGCCATGACTCCCTGTCCACTCTCCCTGAGCTTCTACGCATATGTGGCTTGACCAGCGTCGAACGGACGCTGGCCCACGCCCGCCCGAGCCACGTGTGGCCCACGCCCGCTTGAGTGCGTGACCTACGTGACGTACGTTCCGGCACGCGTTCTGTGTGGGCGACCGAAGGCTCCGGCCGTACAGTCGTTTACCGAGCGCTCTCGAGATGGACTGGCCCCCATACCCAGTCCGGCCCGCCGGCACCGCCGTACGTCCGGCAAACAGGCGCGGCCGGTCGGCGCCAGCGAAGGGCGCAGCCTTTCAGCGGCGCCGCCCTCATCATGACGTAAGCTGCCGGCCCGCCGGCTGGCAACGGAGCAGCTCGCCCTACGCAGCGCCGTCTCCCGGGAGGACGCTCGCGCCTCAGCGCTTTCCAGTCGGTTGAGAATGGTCCGACTCGAGTGATGACGCACGGGCGTACGCTCGGCCGCTCGCCTCGCCTCCACGTTCGGGGACGAGACGGGAGCGCCGTCGTCCGCGGCCCGGGAGGTACCAGGCGTCCATTGCTGCTGTCTGGCATGACATACGACAATGAGACGTTGAGGCCCCGAGACAGAGGCCTCACCCCAGTCACCATGGTCGTCCAGAGGCGCACACATGAAGGGGGCGCTCGGGTCCGTGCCCCTCACTCCACAGCTGAAGACAGCTCCGACATCGGGGAGGGCATGCGATAAGTTTCTAATATCACATTGTTCGCCATGACACATCAAACGCAACATCACGAAGCCTCGAGGAAAGGTAAGACCAGCGTTCAGAGGGCCTACATCTGCCGCTCGATGGAGCAATTCCCCCGAGGGCTTGTACCGGAGGCCTCCTCGAGATTAAGTTCGCTCCACACCAAAATCCTGCATACGCGCCTAAAACTTTCTGTTCGACGCGCTCAGCAGCGCAGATACGCACAGGTCGCACTAGGGGGCTGACGTAAACCCCAACAAGGCAGCGCAGCCACCAATCTCATGGGCCATCGCCATGCCAACGCGCGCCGCCGCCCGGTCTTCTGCGGGACGCACGCAGCATGTTTGGAGAGGCCGTATCAGTTGCATCAGGCGGGGCGCGGGTCAGGCTCGGCCCGCTGGCCTTGGCAAGCGTCATTGGTATTCCGCTTTTGCTCGGATCGAAACGAATGGATAGAATTCGGTGACGACGATTGTCTGCCAATCTGCCTGGTTGCAGCGTGCTCGTACGCCGTCACCTATCTAAGGTTTTGTGTGTGAGCGAGAGGGAGAGCGAAAGGGAGAGAGGGGGTTGGTTGGAGAGAGAGAGAGAGAGAGAGAGAGAGAGAGAGAGAGAGAGAGAGAGAGAGAGAGAGAGAGAGAGAGAGAGAGAGAGAGAGAGAGAGAGAGAGAGAGAGAGAGGGAGAGAGAGCAGCGGCATGCCCGTGCGTCCGTATCTGTCAGACGCGTGTAATTACAGTGGTACTTTAAAAGGAAGCCTCCTAGTCGTTACACCATGATGTGGCATTCTTCATGACGGAAGTGTGGCAACCATTTCTATTAAATAGCCACGGGGTCACGTCACGCCTGTCGGATTTGGCCACGCTAATGGAGCGCTACAAGGGACATCCATTTAACAAGGTTAATTATCCGAGCCACCTCTACCACATACCCCGAGTCGGCATTGCATAGTTATAGCACTGGTAAGAAAACACCCCGTCATAATCAAGAGGCTGCCGTAAACTTTACGGGTGTTTACGGTGCAACGAAGTGACCGCCAACTTATTTCATGTTCCGTCTGTCTATACCGCCTGGGCGGTGCTTTGCAGAACAGGTGTCGCCGCTCAGCTGTATGCTGGCGAGCGGTATACTGCTCGAAAATGACGCCATCCAGGTGGTTTTCGTACCGGCCCTGTTGCCCGCAAGGGTCAGTTTTACGACGCAGGGTGGTCGTTTGAGGGCGAATTGTCGGTGCCAGCGTGCTAGTTACTGGAATTTTTACCGCACACCCTCCAATATCCGGTGGCCGTCGAAAAGATCTACGAAGGCTGTAGAAGACAGATGGGGATAAAACCTCCGGCGGCGCGCAGCTCGGGCAGCGATCGGCGCTCACTGGCGGGCGCATTCCCCGCTTTCCTCTTCTGCTTATGAGTGTGCGCGCTGGTGTGCCGAGGTTAAATTGCAGTCACTTCGTTTACATCCATGGCGCTGGTCACTGACCCAGGACCGTCCCAGTCCCAGTTCTCCTACTAGCCCGACCGTGGCAACGGAAGACCCCCCCCCCCCCCCTGTAGTGTGATGTGGGTACTTGCTATAGCCCGTTAGATAAGGGTTAAGGGCTCAGACATGTGTTTACACTTTTAACTAGGTGTATAAGCAAACTGTGCTCCGTTAATACCTCGCCGCAACCGTCTTACAATTTAATACACTTCCCAGAGAGTAAAAGTTTCAGTTGAGATGCGCATTATTCTCGGCCGTTTTTCACCAATGATGGCACCTGCAGCCAGCAGCACCTGACCAAACGGCACGCCGATTACCTGTGGCACAGCGTTGCAGCCGTGAGTGGTGACAGCGTGCCCGCTGACCAGACAGCTCGGAATGCCACACTGACGGCAGCCGGCCGGAAACGCGCCCCACGCGCCATACATCGCCCGGCGGCCGGCACGTGCGCTGGTGACGCCGCGCGCACAGCGAACGTGCCTATTTCCCGTCCAGATATGTGTCGAGGACACGCCATCGCCAGTATTCCCGCCGGCGGGAGGCACCGGATAGCCACGACGGCGTGGCTATAGACGGCAGGGGAGGTCCGAGGGACGGGAGTGGTCGGTCGGACGGGGAAGGCCTCGAGGGCTGTGGTGCGTTCAACGCGGACACGTGTCCTTCTACAGTCGTGGGTTCAAGACCTAGGTCTAGTGTGAAAAGGTCTAGCGCGAAATAACACGGATATCACATGCATCTTGGAGCCACTTCTGGGGCTGGCTGGTCAGATTGGTGTTGTAGCTGCTGTCTTCACATCCTCGCCACTTACCGAGTTCAGCTTGAAGAGCTTCCGTTTGGCCAGCCATTGGCCAGTAGCTGTGTTGCCGAGGTTCTTGATGGACGAGCGCGCGTTCTCGAACAACATCACTGAGAGCATGTCGCGCGCCGCAGCGGCACCGGGTCGCGTAGCGCCTCAGCCGCGCGCTCCGACCGTCATCGCGTCACTGCGCCGCCGGCGCCGCGCCGCCGCCGCCGCCACCGCCGCGAAGGAGGCCGGCCCGCTGCCGGCCGGCGGCGGCCGCCGCGACACGGTCCAGTTAGGTAGAAAGCACGCCACCCGGCCGCCGCTGCCGCCGCTGCTGCTGCCGCCGCTGCCGCCGGAGAGAGACACCGTCGACAAATGAGCCAGGCTTCTCAGGCCACTGCGCCGAGCAGCTATTGTTCAAGCGCGCCTCGACCGGCTGCGGCCGGCGGTGTCGCGCTACGGAAAGTAAGTGGGGCTCAACACGAGTAATTTTTACGTTTCGGATTTCACTGGGCGACTCGGTGGCGACGACGACGGCCGCTGAACGGGCAACGCGGCCGCAGCGCAGCCAGACGCGCCGACCAGAACGGCAGACGGCGGCTCGCTCCGCCCACCTGTTCGGAGGCGATCGGCAGCGGGCGAGTGGGCCTGGCCAGTATGCAGGCTGGCGAGGACTGCCTGCTCCGATCGTATCGTCGGGCGCACCTGTCCGGACGGGCAGCCTGTCGGCGCCGACAGACGCCGCCCAAGTCGTCGGCGTCGACGCTCGCTCACCCGGTGACCGGTGGGGAGGCGGGTGCCGGCGTAGCGGCCGGCTGAGAGCTCGCCGGTACACGGTACGTCGGTGGCCGTTACCTGCGCGGCGCGCGCTGGCTGGAGCACTGGTCGGCGGCCCCTGACGCGGCCTCTCGGCGGCCAGGCGGGCGACCTTCGGGCGGACACGGCGCCCGCCGGCTCGCGGGGCCCGCCCGCCCGCCTCCGATTCATTCGCGGCCGGCGAAAGTGCCGTGCAAACCGGCCGCAGCGGCGTCATCAGCAGCGGCGTCATCGGAGACGATTCAGACGTCACCCCGAGGCACGCTCCGCCGCCGCCACAGCGCGCCGTTCCGCCAGATGGCGCTTGGAGAGCCTGACGAGCCCTGTTACAGAACCCGCCCGGCTGCCGGGATATTTTAACGGCCGGTATTTCGACCGAGACCTAATTTATCAAGCGATCTCGTGTGCCGCGCTTTTTTACGATCGATTCAGCTGATTTGGGCAGCTCGTTTTGGATGGCCGAGTTCAATTCATTTGCCGCCCAAAGACGCCCAGCATACACATGCTGACGGCGTTAGAGCCTCACACTCCTTGTCAGGACTCTGCTGTGTCGCCCAAGTCCTTCAGTCTGTGTCAACCCGGGTACGTCATCAAATTTGAGCACATGTCTGATGCGCTCTGTCGAGTTGTGGGGATCAGACGAGACAGCTGGAACGACGAAGCTACATGATCATGGAGCCGTCGAGAGCAGTGTTAATTTCACATGTGCGCGTTATCTTAAATTATTTTAATGCGCTGGCTCACTTCTTGTGGATGATATCCGATAATGCAGTGGGAGAAAGTAGTCATGCCATCAGAGGAATTGGTCAACTTTGGAAACCTTACTGCGACGGAAGAATTCCATCAGACTGCATCTTTTGTTCCCAGGGGTCCTGATTGTCACCGTTTCAAACGCACTGTTGCGTCGGAACCGGAACCATGGAATATAGTGCCCTTGATCTCAGAAATTGGGCCAAACAGCCGCTTCTACCCGTGGGACTGGCGTTAAACGCGGTACACCCGAACTGGCTCAGAGAAAAACAGTCTGGCTCGGCGGCCGACTAATGCCCAGGTTTCTGGTTTCACCAGCTGGCTCGGCGGCGTTCAGCGGTCCAGCTGCGGTGCTGGTCGCTCCCACGGTGACCACCGGGTGAAGCTCGGCGCCGCTCGGCCGACGGGCGCCGGCTCTGGCCTCCAGAGGACCCGGCCGCGCCCGGCCGAGGTCGGGCCGGCCCGTCACGTGACGCGCGGGCGGCCCTCGGCCGGTGCGGAAGTCCCGCCGGGGTGGCGGCCACCCGGGGAAGGTGAAATGCGCCGGGTGTACGGAGATGAGCAAAATAGGCTCCGGGGCTGGTGGCTCTGCATGGCGCTGGGCATGGAAGCAAGATGCGGAGTGAAAGATCCCAACATGCCGTAACCATATGGGTTGTCGTGGATGCTGTGTGGATGATCTGGATGCTGTCCGAAAAGGTCTCATTCGTATATATAGCTATATATATATATATATATATATATATATATATATATATTGGCACTTTTCATATTACATGCAGGCAACGATCACCCTAACCAAGTGTCGCGCGCTTGATTATGTAGCCATACAGTTGCGGGCTACATAACCAAGTGCGTGGCATGCATTGGAGTTCTCGGCCACCTAATTACCACGGATCATCGACATCCAGACCACACAACTCAGGCTGTGCGTTTATGTAAACTCTGCGGAGCCATGATCCACTTACTCCTCCCCGCGTGTTTGACACGCCCCTGATTAGTGATCACGGGACCGGTACAGCAGGCCAACAATAGCATCGACAGATGGGCCCGCCGGGCTTGCCTCCGCTTGGAACTGCAGTTCACTGAGGCCTGCTCGCATCTGATGAAATGGGCGATAATGACGTCCACCGGAATGAATGGCTTTGTTCACTACACCGCGACAGAGGAGGTCAATCCTCAAACATAGTAAAGCCTTCAGACCCAACGAGCAGTCGCATTGATCTCGGGTTTGTAAGTTGAGAAGGGCACCCCTCTCCAATCATTACATCATGAGCGGCGATCCGTTTAACTCCTTTGCGTCTGCGTTGCCACGGTCATTCTCCCCGGACCTGTTTGAGCACGAGAAATGGATGTCAGCAGACTTAAGACCGACCAGGAAATGCTGACGACTTCGTGTCTGACAGAGCATCGTAAACAAACATGCTGAAACCGATCAGCACCATACGATGGTTACCTGCTATTTCGGCAAATTTTTAGTGTATGTATCTGGTTAGTTTAGGCTATGTTTGCCGCCTGGATTATGCATCGCTCTCATGTCCTGATGCACGAGCATCGTCGATGCGTTGCCATATCGGTGCATAAGGTTCTCTTCAATGGACAGGAACCGCACGCCGTTCATTTTATAGAAATGCCTATCTGAATTCCCATCATCGACTTGATAGGATCCGACATATTCACCGTCAGATCTAATTTACGGCGAGAATCCGGAGCCGTTCCAGGAAGTAACTGTGAAAAGCATGGATGTAATTTACGTTCTGAACGACTGCTGAGTCATCATCTTGAACATTGCAGATAATTTAAGCCATAAGCGATGTCTGTGAGAGGTTGTCTGACAACATAACTGCGCAGCAATTGTAAAGCCTGACTGTTATACATAGCGCGGCAAATGTGGCACACACTACCTGGGCAATGCTAAGCAAAGGATTGCTGTGCACAGGAGGCCTTTATCCTCGCCCTGCCCGAGGGAGAGGGGAAGGGGGGGGGGGGGGTGTAGCCAACCGACCCTCCTCCAGCTGTACAATGTAACGGAAACATTACATGTGGTTGCACGTCGCTAACACAGTAATGTTGGCAAAATTTGGCTACTCCCATTTTTAGACCAATCAGGACCTCATGTGAAGTCAGGTCAAGGAGACTGAGATCATTTTCGAGCGTTTGCAAGAGGTATCATTGCCCGTTAACCAAGCCGTTTCGGTTATCTAATGGAGAGCTTTGAAAATTTGTCAGGGGTCCCGGTCGAACTTAAGTCAACAGGATACTCCAGGCCAGCTGACGAGGCCTGATGACACCTGACCTTTCAGAGGTCAAGTCTGGTCGCTGGCCTTACGTGACAGCACATGGCTCAATGCTACTACATATCTCTTTTAGCAATGAACATAGATGAAAAAATCAAAGGTCAAAAAAGATAAAAAGATCACAAAAGTCAGAAAAGTCAAAGGAGCAATTTGAGATGCATGGTACCCTTGGGTCACGACATACTACTCTGCTGCGGCGAACAACAGCGATAAATGAGGTCGGAAGCATGGCAGTACGGAAACGGTACATCGTTGCGAGAGTGTAAATGAAATCAAATGAGATGTAGGAATTCCGGTGAACCGAGTGTGTTAATCAAGTCCCGAAGCACTGGTTTCAGGTGAGACCAGTGACCTTGGACGGCCTTTTTGACCGAAAGTCTTTCCCTTGTTAGCTTTTGTACTAAGTCGGATCTATTTCGTTATTTCCGAAAAACATCATTTCCAGCCAAAGAACCTAATAAAACAAACCATTGCTATTCGCCGCACAAACATTGTCCCCAGTTTGGAGGTCATAAGTTGACCTGAAACAATACGCCAAGACGTTATTTTCTGCCCAAGATATCTAGGCTGACAAAGAGGCCCTGCTGTCATTTTGGTGTTGCTTTGTGTGGTCCTGGCACAATGGACAGGAAAGTCTCAGTTTGCAATGACTTGACCAGTTTTAGGTCTTTTCTCGGATGGGAGGCAGCCAACCGTCCTTCGGGTTAAAGGTTATTTGCGGCGTGGTTGTTCCGCTGATGGGGATTTGGAGCCCCTCCACAGCAGAGCAAGGCATTGAGGAAATCCCGTCCGAGAGCCGAGTAATGCTGCATTGACAAATATTCTGAACACTGCCTGCAGCAACACATTTAAACCTGGCTGTAAATGAAAGAAAAGTCATTCCATGATTCTCGACGAAGTGAAGTACAGCAACATTTTAAAATCTGGAGTGACTTTGTAAAGATAGCCATTTGCGACAATCGGGATTCTATCTGTGTGTATGAATGGAAGTGCCTATAGCGATCATGTCACTTGGTGTGAATATTCTATGCGATTTTTTAGCATACATACCCTCTCTCTCTCTATTTCTCTCTGTCTCTTTCTGCCTCTCCATCCCTCTCTTTTTCCCTCTCACTTTCCCTCCCTTCCTCTCTCTTTTTCTTTTCTCCCTTGAAATTTTTCCCTGCGTTATAGCGTATTAATTCTAGTTGGTGACTGTCTAAAATTACTTATTTTGTTTCGAACGCTGCTACAACGTTTGCTCGTGTCGTCTAACCACAAAATGTAAGACAACGTGGCCTTTCGATAGTTGCAGGCACAGTAGCCAGCAAGCCTGTGGTGGACGC